TCTTCAGAGAGGCTGATATGTTTCAACTCGACACCGTGGCGCAAAGTGCCATGCTTGATTGAATAACTTGTCTCCACTATTAAAATGCAAAAAAGAACTTAGACAAGCGTTTAGAAGCTTTGCCATTAAATAGTTTTCTTGTCAATTGATCTACCTTGCGCGGGGAAGACAACTACTAGATCCATCAATTGCCGGTGAAAAACTGGGAGCAGGTCTTAATCAGTTAAGCAGGGAAGCACTGCTTGACAGCTCCCTTCGGGATCAGGCTCATTTGGGGCCTGACTACTCAGCAGGATTAGCAACTTCAAGCACCGGAAAGTTGACCTTAAACAAAGGTGAGCTCACGTCTGCAAAATGTCAGTGGAACAGCGCCGTGAGACAGAGCTGCATGAACCTCACTCCTCTCCCCCGCTGAGAGCTGTAAGAACATTTTTCTTTCTTTTTTTTTTCCCCCCCTCAAGAGTCTCACAAAGCTTTTAAGCAGCTTAATTGTTTCCTAAACCTGTCTTTTCTCTCTTGGCTGATGTTTTATAGTCACGCATTTTGTGTGCCTCGTGCTGTCCTGCTTGAGTTTTGTGGGTGCTGTGCCTGTGCAGAGCAGGGATTGTATTATTTCTGGGCTTCAATGGCATGTCTTTACCTCACCAGGGTGAAAGGACTGCTCAGAAATGCCCATACAAAACCTCACGTCTTGGGAAATCTTTCATCTATTTTATATATAAGGCTCTTTAAAACTTCCTCTCACTCCTCACAGCTCTCTACCAAAAATCTGGTTTCTTCGTGCAGTTAGGTTTGTGCATGTGGGTGCAGAAAGCACCTGGAAACAGCCAAAGCTGAGCACACTCCTGTCCCACGTGAACTACTCATGGCAAAAATGCTGCCATCCCTGTAACTGTGCACAGCCATACAAATCTGCTCTACTTTCATTCCATGAAATTAGAGCAAAACCCCCCCCCCCCCCCCTCCCTGAGCTCTGCCCCAAGTGCTTTCAACATACCATGAAACTAATTATTGTGCTTAAAGACAATGTGGCAGTCAGTCAGATGCTGTCCTTCAGGTAAAAACAGACTCAAGCAGTGGATCCAGGTGAACCTCATGAGGTTCAATAAATTAACGTGCAGTGTCTTGCACCTGGGCTGTGGCAGTTCAAGCTGGAGGATGTAAGGATGGAGCACAGCCCTTCCAAAAAGGACTTGGGAGTAGTGGTGGATGGTAAGCTGGATGTGAACCAGCAATGTGCTCTCGCAGTCTAGAAAGCCAACTGTATCCTGGGTTGCATCAAAAGAAGCGAGGCCGGCAGGGCGAGAGAGGTGATCCTGCACCTCTATTCTGTGCTGGTGAGGCCTCACCTGGAGTGCTGCATCCAAATGTGGAGTCCTCAGTACAGGAGAGATGTGGACCTGCTGGAGTGCATCCAGAGAAGGGCCACAAAAATGATCCATGGGATGGAGCATCTTTCTTATGAGGACAGGCTGAGAGAGCTGGAGCTGTTCAGCCTGGAGAAGAGAAGGTTGCAGGGAAACCTGAGAGCAGCCTTTCATTCATAAAGAGGGACTAGCAAAATGATGGAACACTGGAACAGGCTGCCCAGAGAGGTTGTAGAGTCCCTTTTATGGAGATATTCAAGACCTGTCTGGATGTCTACCTGTGTGACCTGCTGGATGGAACCTGCTTTAGAAGGGAGCTGGACTCAGAGACCTCAAGAGGTTCCTTCCAACCCCTGCAATTCTGTGATTCTGTGATTTAGACTGGATATAAAGAAGAAATTTTTTACAATAAGGGTGGTGAGGCACTGGCACAGGTTGCCTTGAGAGGTGGTGGATGCCCCATCCCTGGAGACACTGAAGATCAGACTGGACAGAGCTCTGAGCAATCTGATCCAGCTGTTCATTGCAGGAGAGTTCAAACAGATGGCACTTAAAGATACCTTCCAACTCAAAGGATTCTATGATTCTATGAAAGTTCATGCTATGTGGGAACATAAAAAAATGCAAAAAATGAATATGTTCCCACTTTTCAAAGCTACAAAGTTATGTGAAAATTCTGGTGAAGATTCAGAGATAAATCTTTACATATTTTCTCATATATATATACATATAAATGTATATAAATGTGTCACCCTCACAATCAGTATGAGTTTCATTTAAGTGGAACTGAACCATCCAAGTATTTATTTCAATTACAGTTGTCTGGATTCAGGCCATAAAGTTTACATGTCCAGTTTTATTTTTCTAATGTTCTGCTGGGATCCATTCTCCAGAATAATAAAAGTTGCAGAAAACAGTATTCACTGTGGGTGTGCTCCAATAAATCTGAAAATCTGATGCCTGTAAATATAAGCAGAGAGATAGGAAAACAAATTGTCTCTCTACCAAATTGAAATTCAGTTGTACCCTAGTTAATGAAAGTGTCATCCCTGGTACCAAGGGCTGTGCTTGACTGCCAGCAGTACTATGGAGTTCAGAGAGAAGCTGAGTGTAGCTGAGAAATCGAATTGCCACTCTGTGGAGGGAGTCTCTGTTGGCTGTCCCACTGTCTTTTTATGAACGGATGAGGAAGGCGTGACGTCGGGGAGGCAGGGGCTGCAGGCAGTGGACAGCCCTCAACCCAGTCCCAAGGTAGCAGCCTCTGGGCATTTGCAACAAAGGACCCCAGAGGAGGCTCAGACGCAAAACAGAAATGTTTCTGCTCCCCGTTCAGTGTGAAATAATTGCCTGAATGCATGCAAGGAAATCCTCTCCTCGGAGCAGCTTCAGGGATATGACAGAAGGCTTGCTCCACTTCTGCCAAAGATAAAGCAATTTATCCTCCTTTCTGCTATTTCTTGCAGGAGAAAGCCCTGATTTTTTTCCAAGACATGACAGCGGTGCATATTAGGATGCGATGAGGAAAGAAATTGGCTGAGGGTTTTTTTTTTGGGCTACTGCAGGGCTTTTTCTAGCAGAGGAGCCATGTCAGCGATTTCGGTGACTTTATCCCCACTCTGCCTAGGCTGATGCTGCTCGCACAGCACACCCGCCTGCGAGGCTCTGCTGGCAGAAACCTGCCCTCATGTTTGGGGTGAGCTGCAGGCACGTTGCATAAGCTGCCTGCCCAGTTTTCTTGGCACTTTGGTGTCAGACTCACTGCTCTCTTCCCCTTGCGAAAGTTGTGTGGTTGGGTCGGCATTTAAACACCATGTATATATATACCTACACTGTTGCACAGCTATGAGCAAGCATATGAAAATATGGATTTATAGATGTGTATATACACATATTGGACAGATTTTAGATATCAGACAGTGTATATGATCATGCAGCAATATCTATGTAGCTATATGATAGATTGTCTATGTACTGTAATTTTTATTATGAAGAGCTCCACTGAAAACACTTCCTCTTTTCCCCCATTTTAATTTTTATGCATTGTTCCTTCTCTTCCTTTCCCATTTCTCCTTTTTTAAATGTATCATCTAATAAATAGAGACTGCAATTGCCTTGGAACCAATTATTCGGTGATATATGCCAAAGGATGATAAAAATCTTTTGAATGTTTGTATGTAATGGGGAAGCACCTGAACACGTACATTGTGTCTCTCACCAGCACTGTTCATCTCACGTCTCTGCAGTTTAATACAAGGACATCACTGCCTTTACATGATATCTTATGAAGGCACAATACGTAAACATATATGCAGTTGAAAAGAATGATGAAAATAATGTAAATATTTCTTATCATACTTAAATACCTCAACTCAAGCATGTTTTTTGCATGGGTATGCATGTTTTATTCCTGTATGTGTCAACGAGCCTTCCAATAAGTGCATGTGTGTGGGAGTAAGGGATGTGATTATGTATTTGCATACCATTCCACATGAATGTAGACTGAAACTGAAAACATGGAGGGAATTATACAATCTATTTTTAAAGCCCGCATTACTGCAAATGTTGCTTCATCAAGCTTTTATCATAGCTGATTAATTATGTAGAATGAATGATGATGAGTTTTCTTCTTATCTTCTGTCTCTGCACCGTAGAAAAAACTTGAGCCAGGTTGCTCTGGGACACTTGCAGGCGGGTGCTCAGGCAGACAGTGCAGTAAGTACCGCAATGTTATTTTTTATCCTCTGGACATCCTGCAGATACCAGTAACTCTCCTCATGCATGAGATTATTGATCTCCATGGCAGTAAGAAAAGATGAAAAGGTCAATTTTAAAAATGAGAACAGTAGGGACCACTTGTTATGACAACAGCTAATGTCGGAAATTTGTGCCCTCGCCCTTAGAGAAGGTCTTAGTTATATTAACAATATTGATTTACTGTGAGAAGATGGTGTTTTCCTATCTTTTCATCTTCATACTGCCTCTATCCAGGGCTCCCAGCACAAAGCTGCTATTAGTTTTCATAGCTACCAAACCCCTAATTTTCTTCTTTTCCAACATGTGAGCTACTTGCATCAGGCCACCTGCAGCACGGATACCTTGGCAGGCACAGAAAGGATCAGCCATACTGACAGAGTAGGGTGCAATCAGATAAGAAAAGTGGCTAGTGGAGTATGTGGCTGTTTTTAACAGGGGAAGTAAAGAATAGGTATGGTGGTCATGTGGTAGAAAGGCAAGAGCCTGGCTGGAGGAAAAGGAGTCTGAGAAATCCCAGGGCTTACAGACTTAGAGCTTGGGAATACTGGGTCCAGAAGGCTTAGCTGTGGGCACAGCTGCATCATGATTCAGACAATAAAGAGCACCAGTGCTGCCAGCCATTTTAACTTTAATGTGAGCTTCATAATAGTTCTTAAAACCTCACTGTTAGAGTTGTCCTGACACACAAAAATTCCTTCCTTCCTTCCTTCCTTCCTTCCTTCCTTCCTTCCTTCCTTCCTTCCTTCCTTCCTTCCTTCCTACCTTCCCTCCCTCCCTCCCTCCCTCCCTCCTTTCCCTCACTCCATCCCTCTCTTCCTTCCTCCTTCCCTCCCTCCTTCTTCAGTCCCTCTCTCCCTCTCTTCCTCTCTCCATCCCTTCCTTCCTTCCTGTCTCCTCCTTTTTCTCTCTCCCTCTTTCCTCCCTCTTCTTATCTCTCTTTCTCACCCCAATGCTGTGAAAAGCATAAAAGGACAGGCTGCATTCTCAGAGGACCCAATTACAAATAAAAGCTAACTTCCATGCTTCCTTGACCTCCAGTGCACCCTTTTTAAACAGTATCACATAGTTATATACAGAAAAGCTGTTGTAGAGTTCCTAGTGTTTTTGGGTTTGATGCAGCTGAAATTCTTTCAAAGATGTCAGCCTTGAGTTATTTCTGTCCAATGGAAGGGAATTAGATATGTGAGAGTACTAGGGCAGTTGGATGCTGTTACTCACAGTGAGTCAAATTCAAACAACCAAAACAAAAAATATCTGTATAGGGACGACCACTGATAACCAGAGGTTTTAAATTAGATCTTTAATACAGGAGGAAAGAGGTGTGGAATCAAATTGGAAAGCTATTAATAAAACTAGTGACCATGGTGCAATGGAGTACTTGAATGATCAAACAAATATGAGTTTATAAGAAAGTTGGAAAACTCTAAAAGAAACCTAATTTGCAGCATATCTGTCTGCAATCCTTCTGATAGAGAAAACAAAATGGAGACAGAAACTGCTTGTGTGCTTTAGAAAGACTGCCTGTCAGACTCGATTAAAGTCCACAGGAAAATACAAAAACAGCAAGAAAACAGAATGAGTTAAGGATAGCCAAAGGGGCACCAGATAAAATGAATACTGTACCAAAGAGGAAACAGACCTCTTTCTAAAAAGGGATGTGAAATAAATGCTTACAAAATAAGAATAATACAGAACTATTTTCAAACTTCTTTGTAGAAAGAAAAATGAAGATGGAGTGCTGGCAATTAAGAAGTATTGATAACATTTTAGGTGTTGATGAAAAAGCGTGCAAAAAAAATATTTGTTAAATTAGCTGCCCTGACTAAATTCATCCATATTATTGAAGGAAATTTTATTGAATTGCCTATTATTTCTTATGTCTCAGAGAAAAGGGAAAGTACACTAAGATGGGGAAGATCCAGCTTGCCAGTTTAATCAGGGAGGCGTGATGTAGGTATTGAATGTCCCATTATAATCAGCAGCAATGTAAGACTTCATTCAGCTCTCACATACAGACATGGCCTGATGGCCCCAGAGGATATGAGATGCGTGGTGGGGAGTGATGGATGTGCCACAGGAACTACAGGGATCCCATGTCTCTCTGGAGCACAGAGCTGGAGGCCAGACAGGATGGGACCTGTCTCAAGTATCTCAAAGTGCTCCAAGTATCTCCATTTAACCAACTGAGTTGAGAGCCTGGAGCAGGAGTTACTTCCAAGGAGAGCTCCAAATGTCTGTCTTCACACCAGCTAGATGTTAAAGTTCCTACCGTATTCCCTCAGCGGACAAACAAATCAGTACAGTTACTGACAGATAAAAATCCTGTCTAAAATGATGTCAGCCAGTTTTTATTTGGGCGTGGTGAAATCACTTTCCAGGGACAACAGTTAGAAATACCGCATGGCCACAAATGATGAGTCTGTAAGCAACCCCTACCAAAAGCCCAATGGATTCTTGTTCCTTTTAAGTCTGCCAGATTGCTCCTATCCTCTGTGTCCTGCATTGGGGTTTGCTAGAGAGAGGTGGTTCTATTTAAAAGCCAAATCCACATCATCATCTAAAGGCCCCATCACAAACACCATGGCACAGTAGGCTCAGCTTGTGACCTCCTCTATTTGCTGCCTTCTTGGTGTGAAACAAATCACAGTTCCTTCCACTCTGGGGCTGTGTGGAGCAGGCTGACATGAGCAAGGCCTTATTGCACTTTGGGGGAGAGATGGCTGGTGGAGACACAGGGTGCTCAATCCGAGGGGAAGCAGAGAAAAACCTCCTTCAACAGCTCTGAAACATAACAGTGCAGCTCTATCACTTCTGCTGAGGTGTGAGGGAAATAAAATGCCAAAGAGAGGGGGAGGATTCCTCTGAGAGAGATGTGAGTGCCACTGGAAAGTGGTCAGTATGAAGAGATGAAAGTGAACATCTGAGCAGGAGTTCCATGAGGATGACATCTGTGAAATTACAGGAAGGAATTTGGAAAAACCTGCTTCTTGTATATGGAGGGAGCAATAGCACATTGTAAGGCAGGAGATCTCTCGCAGGTAATAACTTGTACCCCTGTGGTGGTACAACTGTGGTGAGATGTTCACACTGTAGCTTAACATGAGTCACAGCTCTGGCAGATGCACAAACAGACCCTGTGTGCACCTTGATTATGACATTATTTTCATCTGTAATGCAAGTTTATGTAAGGTGTCTGGTAAGAACGTGGTAAAGTCTAACTTAATCCTCAAGAAACATGATAGGATTTTTTGTTGTTTTTGTTTGTTTGTTTGTTTGTTTGTTTGTTTGTTTTTGCATTAGCAAATAAATAAAATTCTGAAGTACTCCTTTATGGTCAGCATGACTTAAATTTCAAGTGTTTCTACAGTACAGTACAGCACTTTTCAATGCGACTTGGGAATTCATGTAGTTATCTTATAACCAGCACAGACTGGGGTCAAGAATGTGACCGTCCACTATGAATAGTTCCCACTTACAGCTTCAGTACATATATTTTTAGAACTACTTATTTTTGGCTTAATGCATCTAGTGGTGGGGTAACTGGATTTTTTACTCTTCCTGTGCCCACTTTCCTTTTAAAAAGCATGGACTGCTGTCTACTCGGGGTGTGATAAAATGCTTTTGACATTTCTCTTGTTTTCACTTAAAGATGAGGAAAGAGTGAGTTTGGTATCTGTGTATCTGTGTATTTGTATGTCCATTTATTATCTGAATATTCAGTGACAGAATCTGCACAAGCAAATGAGGGACACAACTATACAAACCTATTGAAAAAAAAATGGGCCATGTGTGGGTGTGTGCATCTAAATATTTTAGGAGCTGAACAATCACCCTGGAGAATATTAGGTTAGAGATAGACAAATTATATGTCCATCTGAATCTTCATGTAAGCAAAGTCTTAGAGATGAATAGTCATAAAACCAATCTGTTGCCATTCTCAGAGGCAGTGGATGTGCTGGTACCCTGTGTGTGCTTCCTGAAGTGCTGTGCTCAATGGGGCTTCCTGCTTTTGCAGCTGTGGAAAAAAAAAAAAAAAAGAAAAGAAAAGCAGCCATAAGGTCAGTCTGGGCTGAGATTCTAACTAAAAATATTGTTAATGATCTATTTAAGTGCTGCAGTACAACAAATGTTAACAGTGGCATCACCGCTGAAAGAGCATCTACATTCAAAGTTAAAAAAATAAAAATCCTTCTGAACCTGGAGATTTCTCTTTATCTATGATGTTACAGTTAAAGGAACCAAGAGACAACACCATGAAATGGGCTGCCAAAGGCTAATAGTCTGAGGTTCTACTACAGACAGCACGTGTGGACTCAGGCACTTGCTGTGACTGAGCCTGAAGCACATCACTTGTTTTCCAGACAGCAGCCTGGCCTCACATTCTAAGAGACCTCTTGGTGAGATGGTGAGATGACTAATATTTAAGTGTCACGTGCTGAACTTTGGCCACAACAACCCCATGCAATGCTACAGGCTTGGGGCAGAGTGGCTGGAAGACTGTGTAGAGGAAACAGAGCTGGGGGTATTGGTCAGTGCTTGGCTGAACATAAGCCAGCAGTGTGCCCAGGTGGCCAAGAAGGCCAATGGCATCCTGGCTTGTATCGCCCTCTACACCTACCTGAAGGGAGTTTGTGGCAAGGTAGGGATCAACCTCTTCTCCCACATAAGTAGTGATAGGATATAGAAGGAATGGCATGAAGTTGTGCCAGAGGAGGTTCAGGTTGGATATTAGGAAAAATTTCTTCTCCAGTAGAGTGGTCATGTGCTGGAATGGGCTGCACAGGCAGCTGGTGGAGTCATAATCTCTGGAGGTGTTCAAGGAATGTTTAGATGTTGTACTAAGGGACATGGTTTAGTGGGGAAAAAATGGTGATAGATTGATGGTTGGATTGGATGATCTTGGAGGTCTTTTCCAACCTCGTCGATGATATGATTTTGTGATTACCTTCTGGCTTCCTTGTAGTTAGTCCTAGGCTGGTCTTCCATATCCACTTAAGTTACTGCCAGCATTGGAACACTCCTTTTTAATTAATGGGTGAGTTGATGATCTCATCATCATTTGTTACTTTTCAATAAGTGCAGGCCTGAGGTGATGCAAAGCCACTGCATCTAATGGCTGTGTCTGTTTGTCTCCTCCAATGGCAGGCTGGGCTGTGGCAGGAGAGGGATGTGCTCAGCTGTGCATGTGGGCAACATGCACGGCTAACAGCAACTCCTGGAGCCAGTCTAGCAAAACCCTCTGAAAGACAAACAAATAGCAGCTTTTTGCATGACACACCTACAAGAGAGCATCATTCATTCCAGAGATGTTGGCAGATTATACAGTGATTCTTACTGGATTTCTGTCAAAAATTACACATTTGTTTTTTTGCTATCAATGGAGATTTTTCTGTTTTGTCTACAAACTTGAAGAAGCATCCCAGGAACACCTTTCCCTTTCAGTTCCTGCTCATTCTTATTGGGATGGAGAGGAGAGGAGAGGAGAGGAGAGGAGAGGGCAAATGCCTCTCCACCTGTATTTTGCAATGGTGGTGTCTGAGCTGGCATATATCAAGCCCAGAAGTACTGCGGACTGGTCTCAGTGTAGAGCATAGAAGCTGGAGCATGCTTATAGAAATCTGTGAACTAGAAACTATAAACTTCCTTATTTTGTTTTCTTTTGGGATTGTTAAGTAGTTTGCCTTGTGCGTTACAGTGCCATTGAATCAGGCAGTTCTCTCTCTGGTTCAGCCCCATGCAGAGTTGTTGGTGCAACCAGAAAAAACAGCAAATGGCCCAGCCTAGTTGATCATGGGAAGATATCCATGCCTATAAAGGTCTGCAGGAAGGTTGAATCCTCCTAGAGCAGCAAAGCACAGTAGAGCTGGCTTTGAGCTATTGGCCTTACAGCTCTCCTAGCATCATTACTATGCAACTTTTCTGGCTAGAAAGTCTCCAAACCACCGATGCTGGGAAACACTAGGGGAGAAGCAAATAAGCCCAAGCTGTGTTATCTACCCTCAGTGGTCTCTATGGGCAGCACCTGTGTAGTGCCCCTTCTCCATGTATCCCCACCCTGCTGATCCCAGAGATGCTGAGCAGTGTCCGTGAGGCTGTCCCTGCTTCTGTGCGTGGGAGGAATGTGCTCTGACCGGAGAAGATGCCTTCATGCACAGATTTCGGAAAGCATGTTTTCTTCATCAGTAAACAAACTATGAGTCATTGGCAGTCACATGGGAGAAGATGAGATTACAAAGAATGTATAAGCAAATAAATTAGCTCCCTTTAGTCATGGCAACAACTCAGCGTTTCCACCCAAATGTTTTATTCCAATTCATCTTTCTCGCTTTATTTTTGTAACGCTGTTGTCCTTCTACTTTGGGAAATTCTAATAGAGTTTGTTCAAAAATTTTTCAAAATGCAGTTCTTGTGTAAGACCATATTTGGAGACCTGGTCTTTATTTTTTGACACTTACGTGCTAGGGGACAGCTGTGGGGAAGGAACAGAGCGGTGATCCTCCCTTCCCTGATGATGCTGCAGTTGTTGGTGTAGCATTTGCCACTCAACATGGGAAAGTAGCTCTTACCCTATGGATGTCTCTGCTCAACCCCCACCCCAAATGTGGATGTGTGATTCTCTATCTGTAGGAGCAGCTTTTGAGGTTTGCTGATCCCTGTCCTCAAGCACAGATGTTGGAATACTGCAGTCCCAAGAACCATCCCTCTCTGGGGACATCTCTATTTAAAAACACAGTTCTGTTCCAATCTGTTTCCATTACATCTGCATTTTAGACTAGTTGATGCAAAGTGTTCTTTTTTCCACAGACCCTGCAAACACAGAAATCTTGTGGGAGAGCTGGGTGTCTCTCCTTGTTTGAAGTTCTGTTCTTTCAAAGGTGATGTCCTGATAATAGGTAGCAAATAGTCTAAAAATAACATAAGCTCTTGAATAAATTGAATATTTATTAAAATCCTACAGCATCAGGCTATGTCAAAAATACTCGCTGATGCATGGAAAGTTGGAAATTTTTGGAATCACTTTCTGATTTAAATACCTTTTAATACAGTCCTCATCTATAGGCTGCCACAAGTAGATGGTACATTTTTCAACTAAAATGGGAAAAAGGCTTCAGAGGCCATTTTAGAGAAATGAATTATTCAAATATTACTTTTATTCATACATTTTCCCAAAGCTATTTTCCCATCAATTTTGTCCCTCCTTAAACGAGATCTAAGAAATTTAGGTAGATGGCATATCCACCTTTTCTAGCACACTCTCCAAGTTTTCAGTAGAAGTAATGCCTCGTTATAGATTATTAATAATAAAAATAATAATAAGGTTACTACAACTGCTTCTGTATGTGAATGATGTTGTTGCATATACCTCTTCTAACTGTAGAACTCAATGCTAATCCAAATCATCCAAGCAATGGTGTATTCTTGGTAGAGGAGACTGAAGAAGTATGCAAGCAGCCAACAACAGTAATAGAAATGGGCACAGGCTGCGCAGGGAGGTGGTGCAGTCACCGTCCCTGGAGGTGCTCAAAACCGTGTGGATGTGGCACTGAGGGATGTGGTCAGTGGGCATGGTGGGGGTGGGCTGATGGTTGAAATAGATGATGTGAGAGATCTTTTCCAACTGCAATGATTCTATGATTCTATGAAATCTCATCACGCTGTAAATGAATCGATTATTTTGTTTTATTTTTCAAGTCACTTTCATCTTTTCTTCCACTGTTTATCACTTATTTCCAATGGGAACATATTATTGAAAATATTGTTTTCAGTCATTGAGAAGGGATAATGTGAGGGAAGGAGAGAGAGAACAGCAGCGTGGAAGGAGCTTTAGCCCCTGTGACCATCATCAGCCAGTGCAGCAATTGCTAACATGGCAGGTAATGGGCCTGCAGCTGTCTCTTCCCTGCTGTTTAGACAAAGAGCCTTCTTTTTCCTGGTCTTGTAAAGATCTTCAGGCTGCAGTAAATTAAAACTAGCCTGCTAAATTCTCAAGGCTCTCCAAACTGGGAGACATTGTTAGTAAAGGTTTAAACTGGGGACATAACAGATTATTCATGCAGGAAACTTAAAAGGCTGTGGGATTTGTTCCAGTATGGTAGATAAGTTTTTCATTATCGGCGGTAGCAATAATCATAATCTTAGTTCTGTGGTTCAGTTTATGGAGGTTATAATTTATGATGAAAGAGTTTATACTTCACAGTAAAAGTGAGGGGACAGCAAAATTCTGTTAAAGGTAATTAACTCCAGGGATGTAGAGCTGAAGGCCACACTGACAAGCATAAGATGAACAAAGAGAAAAATCTATATGGATGACAAGTTTTATACTCTTTCTTCTAGCAGGTCAACCTTAAGGTGTATTTTTTTTTTTTTTAATTGACACTCTTGATGAATCAGTTTAAATACTGCAAACCCATGTTCCTGTTATTGTTGATGATGATAAGGACATCTGAGAATGAAATCTGAACAAGAACAGGGCAGGTGGAGCAATATGTGGGTGAGAGCACTTCCTCTGCACAGAGCAGGGTAAGACAGACTGTGTGTAAACAAGTGATGATTCATTGTCTTTCCTTTGAATGAAAAGAGCTAATTTGGCTCTAAATTCTCCACGCTTCTTCAGTTTGAGTGCAGCACTGATTCTCCAGCACTCTGAGATGCTTTCCTGGCAGACTGCAGCTGTTGTATCCCTCGAAAGGGACCAGACTGAATAAATCACAGCTCCTGCTTTACTGTTTGTTGTTTGCTGTTATTTGGATTTTTTTTTTCCTTCTTCTTTCAGGGCTGGAAAGTAGATCTTTATAAAGGAGTCTCATGGAGAAAAAATAAATTAATGCTTTCGAAGCAATTCATCTCATTTGAGCTGTTCATTTAATAGAGAGGAAAGAGATTAAAAACCAACTCTCCGAAGGCTGGCTCTGGTGGAGCAAGGAGCTAAGACATTACCCATCTCTGCTTGCCAAGATCTAATGCTATTAGTCCCCTCGCTGCTGAATAACACATACGTGGGGTTAGTAGTTAAGGGATGGATATTATTTAGATTATAGATAAGGTAAGAAATTGAAGGCTGAGTTTATTTTTTTTGTCCACATCCCAACTGTCAAAAGCACCTGAAGCAAAAGAATTTTAATTCTTATTTGATTAATGTAAAAATGGTTTATCATCCTGTTGAGACAGTGGATGGGATCAGTGGAATCAGGAGCTTTGTGGTGAATTTTATCTCCAGTAATGAATTGCTTCCTGATCAAAGGCAACACTCCTAACTTCTATATGCCATAATTTCTTTGTCCTAAATGTAGCTCTATATAAACTGCCCCTGCCTCATGGGAAACTCTAGAAATGAGCAGAAGTGTATGTATGAAAAATACTATATTAGTGCTGCTATTACTGATATTTAGGCTGATGTTTTCTTGCTTAAGTATCCAAAACACTTTCCTCACTATTTTCTTTGCCATTTACATGTGGCCCAGCCCAGGAAGATTCAAGCAATGCTTTGAAAGAGACAGTAAAGTCACCCAAAAGACCCAAGTCCTCTTTCTTTATATATTTAAAATCATTTGTAGCCAGAGTTTGTTGGTTTGTTTGTTTGAAGAATCTGATATTTGCAGAACGTTTGGAAGGGTTTTGTGTTTTCTATCTTTTGTGTAGCTCTGAGACTTTTGGATGGTCACAACATAGGCAAAGTTAACTAGTAGAGTCACACAGAAAATGCAAGAACTTGTGGGCTTCAGAGCATTTCTTTCAGTAAGGAAAGTTTATACAGCTTATGGAAGAATAACTGAGGAAATACAATTTCTGCAGCTTTTGTATCTCATTTCCTCAGTTATCCTGTCCTCCCCTGAGCTCTACCCTTTCTTTAGGAGCCCAGAGCAAATAGGGAAAAATGTACTGAATGTAATGGTTGGTTTGGGAAATTCTTCCAAAAAGGAATGTTTGTCCATTATGAGTGGCCATGTGCTGCATTTATTTTAGAGTACTTTTTTTTTCTTTGGCTGTAAAGACACGGATACTTAAATAGCCTCTGTTTCTCAAAATGTTGTGGTTTGACTGAGTGTTTCAGACTAAGATGATGAGTTACATGGGTACTACAGATGAGGGTTGTTGTGGTCCTCCTACCTGTGTGTTTTAGGCTGTAATGCGATCACCACAGTAAGGATGTATTTATTCACTGTCCCTTCCTCTTCACAGCCTCAAATACATCCACCAACCAATCTGCCAAACCTGACACTGCATTCTGCCTATGAATGTGGCTCTTCCTCCCACGAGGACTTTCTTATGAGGAGATGGTTGTTCTTTAGTTTTTACCCCAACAGTTGTATTATTACTGCTTATGTGCTGCTGTAGATATAGGTGATACTGTATAGGAAAGCATAATGAAATACGGCTTTGACTGGGGCTGCAATTTAAAGTCATGTGAACAATATGAGCCATTCTTATAGCCTCACCTATAGAGCTCACAAGTCTAGTTCAGCTGGTTCTCTACCAATCCTAAGTTTTTGATGTGTATGTGTTTCTCCTAAGCAATAAGTCTAGCATTTTATACATGGTTCATCATCCTAATATCTGAACTAGTGAGTACTTAAAAACCTGCAGCACAATTTTTCTATGTATGAATAAGAGATGCATACTTCCAAGACATATATCAAATGACGAGATGTCTCCTCTCTTTACCTGCCTGAGCTGTGAGAGATCTATCTGTAGTTTATGGTTCTGTTTTATAGCAGATACATTTTATTTCCTCAGACTCAATAAAAGTGAATACAGAAATCTGTAATTGTATTTGATTAGTCATTTATATTCTAAATGGCAGCACTGCATCATGTGGAATAGGAAGAAAAATACCTAAAAAATAACAAGATTTCTTCTTGTGTATGAACTATTTCTTCTAAGTCTGCCTGCATGTGAACAACTCCCTTGACCACCTTATCAGATATAATGATTACACTGCTCACTTAGTAAATGAATGGAAGTGTTATTAAATTCATTTGTCAAAGCATTTGGATGGGGACATGTCCTATTCTCTGTAAAAGGAACACTAAGAAGAACATGAAACAGTAGAAAACAAACTTTGCAGGAGAAGTTCGATCTTCCAGTGATGCTCTGGCACACTGAGTCTTCTGAGCAGGTGGAGTTAGCCTGGGATTCCTGTTTGACAGGGTCAGGGCATGGAAAGGAGTAAAGCAAGCATTAAGCAAGCAGAGGGCAAGGTTACTTCCTCCATCCTTCCCTTCTCTACACAGACTTAGGATCAGTCAGATTCCTTCCACTTCTTTGTACCAGAGAACTTAGAGAAATTCATTTGCTAATCCTGCCCCCAGCCTCCCTCTTCTCTAAGTGATCTTCCAATAATTTGGAGATAAAGACTCTACCTCCCTCTCTGCACCTGTTTTTTACTTTTCATTTTTACCAACAAAATGCTGCTCCCAAAGGATGATGTTTCTTCATTAAATCCACTTCCAGCAAAAGTACATAAAGGATTTGTTCATAATACAGGAGAATCTGTAAAATAAGATATTTGTGCTAGGTTTTTCCTTGTCTAAATAAAACTGTCAATTGAATCTGAAGAAATTAGATAGCTGCTCAGATAACACAGCAAATGTTCCAGAAAACTGGGGAGAATGGGAAGGTTGGTTCTCCAGTCAGTCACAGATGACAGACGAACATCTTGCTGCCAGCAGCCATGCAATGGTTTGTGAAGGGTTGGCTAGGATGGCTCACAGCACTCCCATGGCCATTCAGAAGGGACAGTATGGGGGCAGTGACTCTATGTGACATTGCTTTGGCTTCCTGATTGCATGAATGGAGCTCAATGACTTGCTTAGGGCTGGATGTGATGAAAGGCCAGCGTGACTAACAGCAGGTTGTGTGCTGTTACAGTGCCAACACCCAACATGGCAGCTCCACATCTTCCTGTCTGACTCCAGGACACACGGCACGTGCCTGGGACCATCCCCAGTCCTGATGTCAGGACTCACTAGTGAGTCAGTGGGGAGGGCCCTGTGTTGCTGTGAGAAGGCTGTGGACTGGGACAGAAGGATGGAGGCATGAGCTATCCCCTCTTTCTCTGGAGCCGACTGTTTTGGTGGCTGCATCTGCAACCTCACACTGAGGCTCTGTAGAGTGAAGAATGTTGGCACAACTTTATTAAAAAAAAGATGCATGAGTGTTTTCCTGAACATAGGCAGCTGTCCAAGTAGTGACATACGGCCTAGATAGCAGCTACTGGGGGATATGTCCATACTAGATGCATTCCCTCCTAGCTTTGAATAAACTTTTCATACCAGAGTATAAACATTTATGATTTAATCTAGGAATTAGCCCCAGGGAAACCACAAATGTCTAGAGTAAAGTCTGCATTTGTTGCAGATAATCAATTGCTGGTCAGCAAATAATTAATCTGATTTAAAGAGGTCTCTTTAGTAAAGAAAGCTGAACACACGCAGCTCTGCACTGTTGCAGGAAAAGAACTGGGACAAAACACAGCTCCAAAAGGAGCACACAGCTTCCTTTTTTTGTATCAATGTACATAGGGAGCAGAGAGCTAACTGGTCTATGGCATACCTGCCTGCCAGAAGGAAAGGGGCTGCCAGGTGAGGACACACAAGCAGAGATACACAAAAACAACATCCATTTATCTGAGAGAAATCCACCGGCACATATATTCCCCAAACTGCTGAGGCTGATATAGTACCTTTAACTCCATGATTTTTGCCTGTACTCAAGTCTATCATATTTAATTAACACAAATAAAAGACATAAGCTAGAAGCGTCTTGAGATTACAGCTGAAAAGTCAGGTAGATTTGCTAGGTCTAATCTTGAATGATAGCAAAAGAGATACATAGGCCTATTTGAGACACAAATCATTTTCCATAAATGTTGCTAAATAGACTTATGAAGAAGAAGAAGAAGAAAATGAAGAAGTGAAAAGAAAAAAAGGAAAAAGCAATAAAAAAAAAAAGAGAGAAAGAAGAAAAAAAAAGAAAAAGAAAAAAGGAAAAAAAAGTAAAAAGAAAAAAAGAGAAGTTGTTTGACAGTTAATTCTTCAGCCATTTTCCTCTCTTTTTGAGCTGGCACTCCACGATAGCATTTCCATTATGTGCTGTCTCTGGTGTATTGCTATCAAAGCACACAGAATTTTCCCATTGAGTGGAAAATTGGCAAGTCCTTCTTGTTTACAACTGCAAAGGTAACAACTTTGATAAAGTAATGGTCACAATTATGCCACTTTTAGCTAAATTGTGAGGAAAATAACTTACCCTTCCGTTAGCCTGGCCTGTGGACCTGAGTGTGCTATTCTGAAAAACAAGACTGATTTTGCTTTTCAGAGTGTCAGCACTCAGAGGGCTGTACTCACTTAGTGACTTCCTGGCTCCAGCGTATCAAAAAGCAAAAGGGTTCCCTCTGCAAGTGTTTGAGGTTTTTCACTGTAATCGGTGCTCTCAACAGACTCGGTTTTGGCAGAAGAGTGTGAGGCTGACTTCATTTCTGCGCTGCAGGTCGAAGGCTGAAAGTGAAATGCTGGGCTTGAAGGCAGCCAGATTTTAGAATCCTCCCACAGTAGTCCCCTCTGGCCCTGCTTTGTGTTTCTTCTTTGGTCCTAGGTGTTCAGAAGCATGTGAGAAAACACAGCATTACATTACTTCAGTGCTTTCCCTTCTTGAATCTCAAAGCAAGATCATCAAGCCTCACGAAGCATCTGTGAGGAGCTGAAGCACCATTCATTTTTCTGAGCAGAGGTAATGCAGTTTTTGGGTGCCCACATAGAAACACTTGGAAGGTTCAGAGATATGAATACCAGGCCATCAGCCACTGGTATTCGTAGCTGATGACCCCAAATGAGCAGAGTTAAAATGTGATGATTATTTTTATTTATCTCCTAGTGAAAAAAAAAGGAAAGAAAGAAAGAAAAAAGCTTAGGAGTATGCATGTTTAGTTTTGAGAGCAAGAAACTATTTGTTGCCTTTTTTTTTTTTCTCTGAAGAAAGTCAAGACCTAACTAAAGATGGGATTTGGGTTGTTTGGTCTCCAAGTAAAAAGCAAAAAGTACACACCATATTGTGTGACTCACGGCGAAACTGCAAGAGCAGATGAAATCAGTGAAAGCCAATTTTCTGTAAACAGTTTCAAAGTTGCAGACATTGAGGTACATGGTAGCACAGTGTTAGGCACTCAGTAGGAGAGGATGTCGCCAATGCACGCTGTCCTACCATGGGTATACTGCACTGAGCAAAGAACCGCCTGGTCTGTAACATCTGTAGGTCTCCATGAACAATGTCATCCAGACCCAAAGGCACAACACATTCCCTCTGGCTTGGCTAAATCTCAGGAATTCCTCTCCTGTGGGTATTTTGGTGGAGAAGGCCCAGTGACTGGGAGGTTTGGGGCAGGAATGGGGAGAATGCAACCACTCCCCGTTAGTGTTTATCCCACCCACCCTCCCACGGAGCTTCTGGAGTTGGCAACTGGCTGCAGCCATGCTGACAGAGATGTGGTGAGGCTGAGGGAAAGAAGGACCTCTGGTTCTCTGCAGGTTTCCCTCTGGGTGAATGAACCTACTGCTTTGTGGGGTTCAGGGAGAGCATATGGGCTGTTGTCTGACTGACCTGTCAGAACCTACTGGTGTTGACATAAAGCAGATGAACTGCAAGTTAAATTGCTTCATTGTTTGCCCTGCAAGCTAGGGACCTCACCAACCAAGCCCCAGGAGGGCAGCAGGATGCTGTAGTGGCGAGCTCTGAAGAAAGCCTTCCAGCAGATCAAGAGAAAGGCACCACATGAACGTTTGTGACACCACATGCATTTAAATGTTGATGGGTAGGTAATTTAAAACTCAGAATAGAACCTGCCAGTACTAGATTAAACATCTCCTCAACACACTGGACCACAGCAACCACATCTAGTGCCTGATCCAGTGGGTGGCAACCCTGCCCGCAGCAGGGGGCTGGAACTAGATGATCTTAGAGGTACCTTCCAACCCAAGCCGTTCTATGATCATATGATTCTATGATTTTCTTTCTGGTGTTCTGAGGATGGCAGCAGCACAGTGTCTGGCCACCTGCTTTACATCCCTCCTGCCTGCTGGCAGACCCCGCAATCTCTGCTGAAGAGGGGTTTGGCTGTGAGAGTGGTGACATTTCAAACCAGGAATTTGCAGAACTATGAGGACCGTTTGCCTGGTGCCGCCTATTTCTTGCCAGCAGCAGGATTTGTTCTGAAGAATGCTGTCAGCTTCTCCTCCTCGTTTGGGAGATGACATCGGCTCAGATGCACATCCAGATTCTTTTTGTTTCATATGCCCATGTAAGTTCGTACACTGTAGATAAATACGCCTTAACTTACATTAGCACGACACAAGTGTTTGCCTAATGAGTGACAAAACCATAAATTCAACAGATCCACCCCATATTAAAAAAAATAAATAAAAGGCACCTGATTCATATCAGTTGAGTGCTGGAATTTTCAACTAAATCAGAATTGACAGAGCCATGACTGAGTCACAGCACTGAAATGTACCACCTGTATGCAGTGCCCGCCATGCTTTACATCTACAAATTAGCCCTCCATCATCCTGGTGAACTATAATCACATAAAACACAGGAGTGCTAAATTGCCCGAGCTTTACCAACTAAGGTAAAGCTATAGAGCACTTTGGTGACAGTGACAGATAGAAAACAAAGCCATGAACACTGATTTCTGAATTATTTCCCTTGTCTCTAGACAATACCTGTACGTAATAGAGATCAGCTAAAAGAATGGTGGTGGAGCAGATCTGAGGTTAGATATGCTCAACCATTTGCTATTGCCAGGCTGTTGTCTTTGCAGTAGCTGTTGAAAAATGGATTGGTTTAAAGCTAAAAAAGAAGAAAAAAAAAAAAAGAAACCTATAACCATATCCTGCAACCTGATTATCTTATCAGCTCTTCTGTGACAACTAAAAATAAGCTTTTTCTTTCCTTAAAATAATGAACTGTACAGAGAATAAGGTCTACTTAAAATACAATCAAAATTCAAAATAAATCTTGCTTTATCTTCATTTCAGTTAACAAACTGCATTTATCAGCTTAGCAATTGAGTGTTTTCTGATTTCTTTTCTGTATTATTTGTATTTGATCAGTGTTTTTTACACTGCTGCCTTGTATTCAGTTTTTCTACTATGAATAAGCGTTCAGCAATTTAAATTATAACTGATGGAGTCACAGGACAATTTTTCTCTCAGTCATGTTAGCTCCTTATACTATTTTTCTTTCAGCTAATTCTAATTTTAATTAGTTGCGGCAGCAATTGATTGTACTGATGTACTACTATTCAATTAATTCCACAGTGGTGACTGGGGTTATTTGCTGAGTGACAGCCAAATACTGGAGTACAGAGTATTTTACAATAATTACCTACCAGTTCTACCGGAAACAGTGGTATATCATGTTGTATACCCAGATGATGACTTTAAAGTCACATCTAGTTACATTCACCTTGAGTGTTCCCCTGTGTAACAAAGCCTGCTCAAAAACATCCTTGACAAAAGATGTGGCAGGAGGTACATTTTTATTATTTTGTCTTCCTCCGATCTTTTAAAATACGTTTCTTATCAGAAAACAAGTATGTCCTCATTTGTTAAGCGTGGAGAACATAAATTTTGTAAGATGAAGAAAGAATTTTAAAAACATCCTGAAGTTTCCCATCAGAAGCAGGTTCCATCTTGGTTCATCCATTATGTTTTAGCTCCTTCTGTTGCAGATCATGTATATGCAGGGAAAATCATACTTTCCACAATCACTTTACACCAATCACCTTTTTGTCTTAATTCTAGATTGAAATGTAAAATACAGACTGCAGCTTCATGTTTTCTGAACCAGACAAAGAAGACATGGTGATGACCTGTGTAGGCTGTAGGTGATGTTTGATCTGTGTAGGCCAAAGATCTTGTGTAGACGACAGACTAGAATCTCATGTACCGACTGGTACCAATCTGCATTACACATTCAAATACGAAATGCTGCATGAATCTAAACTTCACGCCAGCATGTAATAGCAGAAAACCCCTTTTAGTTTCTCACCTGATTCAGAATTGCCAGCTGAAGCATTCAAAAGTTCGGCCAGGACACAAACCACAAAACTAATAAGTCCCGATTTAAATGCACATTGATTTTTCTTTAATGACAAGTTTCTAAGTTGATAGGAATCAGACTTTCAGGTTTCTCCTGGCAGCTATGGAGGGTGAAAACATTTTCTGAAAGTGGAGCTTCCTGCATAACCTTATCCTTCTTGGTGCTCTAGGAGATACCAGGTGTTACGTATGTTGATGGCAGTACTATAGCAACTGGTCATACATTTTTCAAAGGCAGCCGGCTATGATTAGCCATCACAGAATCACAGAATCACAGAATTGCCAGGGTTGGAAGGGACCTCAAGGATCATGAATCTCCAACCCCCCTGCCACACGCAGGGCCACCAACCATTCCACCTAATGCTAGACCAGACTGCCCAGGGCCCCATACAATCTGGCCTTGAACACCTCCAGGTATGGGGCATCCACAACCTCCCTGGGCAGCCTGTTCCAGCACCTCACCACTCTCTCCGTAAAGAATTTCCCTGTGACGTCCAACCTAAATCTCCCTTCCCTCAGCTTAAAACCATTTCCCCTTGTCCTGCTGTCACTCACCCTTTCAAAGAGTTGATTTCCCTCCTGTTTGTAGGCTCCCTTTAGGTACTGAAAGGCTGCAATGAGGTCACCCCGCACTAAGGTCACTGTTTATAAAAGACATGAGAAGGCTGATAAGGACCTATTTTGCTTCCTTCTCTGTAGTCAAAGAGAGCACTGTGAACTTGTGAGACTCTGACACTGGCTAGAGCTCCAGTGGTGAAGTCAACCCTTGCACCTGGAGTTGGTCCTTCAAGGCTGTGGCCAGTGGTTCCTGAGGAAGCTGCAGTGAGAGCTTGGCAAAGGCTCACCAAGTTAAGCCTCACCCTTCATCAGAAGGATAAACACCCATGTGCACTGAGAAATAAAAGCTCCTTGCAAAGAAACAAACGGCTGTGCAATCTGTAAAACACTCATGCAGCCCGCTGCTCTCTGAGTAAGGTTTAACCTGCTCTGTTTTGCTTCTGTTGCCTCTCCCCATGTGCTTTTCCCCTTGAGGAAGGGACTATCAGCTTGCAGGCCTGAGCAAAGTCCAGCATGGGTAATTTAACTGCCAACATCACCCACCTTGGCAGCACGCTCCACGCCCTGCGCGGCTCTCGCTCAGATCTCACACCGCCCTGCCACGTATCGAGGTTGTACTCCTAGCTAGAGAAGTGGCTGGGAGATGCAGTGACCACGTCTCCACAGCCTGCTTAGCAGCCAGCCCCGATAGGATTTGGTATTTAAATGCAAAGCAGAGATTACGCTGCAGAGTCAAGCCATTTAGCAGCAGCAATATTTTGAATTTCAGAACTATATGAAAGATCAGTTTTAACCTTTGAATAGAGTTCAAAATACATCCCTCAGCGCACTTCCACTTTTAAATAAACAGGAGAATCAAGGGCCCTGACATTTCCAAAGCCCACAGCACTGGATTGTTTTCCTTGCAGAAATACACTGATTCTTAGCAACTGTCTACAAAAGATAACAATAGAATTTGTCAAATAAAATACGATCTGGTGATAGATTTAGCTGCAGTTTTACAGCACCTTTGGGTAGTTTTGGCCCATTCAATAGAAGAATTTGGATGTATTTTCAGCTCTGAGAACACGTTCTTCCCCTCAATGATTTTTTGTAAATGTCATTGAAGATGCAGCAGTCATGTAGCAAGTGAGAAAAGCAGCTGTGTTACTGTCAGGCTGAATCAGAATCATTGTGCATATATACTTAAGTGACTCAGCAGTAACTAATTGAGTATTTGGGATCCATCCCCCATTGGTAGCGTTCATGTAATTTCCCTTCATGTGCAGGGGAATCAAGCATA